GAAATTGTGGGCAGGGGGAGAGGAGGGGAGGCGGCAGAAAATAGATGCCAGAGAAGTAGGCATGGAGGGACAGGCAGCAGGGTGGTAGAAGTGGTGAAGGGAATAGGAAGCAGGAGACAAGGTGTAGAGGAGCAAGGGACAGAGGTCAGGCTGCTTGACCCCCCCCTGCCACTACTTTCCCTGCCGCAACACTGGGGTTGGGAAGTGAATTTGAGATGGCCCTCCAAAAATTGGATTCTATACATGGAAAATTAGAACAAATGTATAAGTTTTCCACAGGGGTCATCTTAAATTCAGAGATTTGGGCAAATATATCCAATTCACACAGCAGATAGCCCAACAAAGCATGCTGCTTCTCCCTGTTTCGATGCTCATTTAGCTGATACGTTTACAGAGGCTATGTCCACAGGGATATGGTAGGCCAATCTAGTTTGTTTCAGCTAATTGTAACTGTTTAAATAAACCAAAAGGAAGCACACGCATAAGCAGGCACATTACCCTTGAATTTACACCATTACCCTTGAATTTACACCATTCTGTTCTTGCTTTCTGCTAAGATACTCTTTGGCACAATTCCAGTGCTCAGCTCTATACTCCGTGAGTCGTCTTGGTAGGTATTGCAATGCAAGGGCAGGGGGGAGGATCAAACAACAAACTCCCGTTAAGTCCTCTCACAGCATCTATTTATTCTGCCAGCAAATGCCTGTGTGGCAGCAGAGAGGACTGTGTGGAGTGCAGTGATCATGAAAGTAAAAAAAAACAAACCACATACCCAAGAGAATAAGGCAGATGCATTTGGAATCATCCAAGCAATTAGATTTAACTCTGTGGTTTCATAGAGCTCTTAGTGCTGAGCCATTATGGCCAGTAAAGAAGAAGGGTATTACATCAATGTGACATTTATTTTGAGAGGCTTTGGGCTCTGTTGGCTAGCAGTTGGCAGTATACTCAATGCATGGCATTCCCACATGCTGTCCTATAGATGCTGGGGGACGTTACCACGAGGCGAGTCCCCGAGAGATGTAGACATCTTCAAAAAGCCAAGGGAGAATCTAAGGAAGATATGCAATACTACTATGTACCAGCTGGTGCAAGACTGGAAGGGAGAGAAAACTATTTATATAGGTGGTCCTGCAAGACCTGCTTTTTCTAATGACAGAAGTGTCAAAATGGAGCGCTAACTTTCCCTGAAGCTCTTTCTAACTACGAGTGTTGTTAAGCACCAGAATACATTATCTACAAATTTTGCGGAATCTCCATCATTCAAAGATAATGCAGATTAGACAAACATTTGACCTAGCATGGTTTAGATAGAGATGCTCCTGACCTTGAGCAGGGGCTTGGACTACATCAGCATTTTTCAACCAGTGGGTTGTGACCCAAAAGTGGGTCGCAGGAATATATGAAAGGATTGAGAAAAAACTTTTAAAATGGATCAGCAAACTTTAAAAATAGATTTTCTTTTAAAGGAGAAAAATGTGGGAAACTGTGGCTTTTCCTTTGCAGGCTGGCAGAGTTCCCTGGGGCCCTTCCTGCCCCACATACCCACCACCTGCCTCATACACTGGGGAGGCTGGGGCCTAGGGGCAGTGGGTCGAGAGTGAGGGGTCCTGGGTCAGGACCAGCCATCGATGTTTACAAATGGGTCCCACTACAAAAAGGGTTGAGAACCACTGAACTAGACGATCTCCTGAGGTCTTTTCCAGCTCTGTTTTTCTTTGATAGAAAGCTAAGTGTATTAATGAAAATGTGAGCCAAGGAACCATTTTCAGCAACATCTTTCTTCCTGTACCAGCAAACCTGCTTGCTGTACAGTACATTTGATTTCTTAAACCACACACTGCTGACATTCTAAGTGAGAAGGAGGGCAGGGGAAACATAGGGATGGGAATAAGAAAGGAAAAATAAAAGCAGGAAATTGCTTAGGAACAGGGGTACAAAAGCAACAGTGTGACTAATGGATTTGAAACTTCAGGGACATAAAAGTTTTCAGTCTCTGGCAGAAATGTCATTCTGAGCACGCTGGTGAGAAGGGGTTAGATGTTAAGCAAGCAGAAATAGGGTCCTGGAAGACAGCTGACATCCAAAACTATAGTCTGAATCCCTCTTTTAAAGTTGCATTATGAGGTCATAACTTCTCAATTACTCCCCTTGATTGGACTACGTAGCTTATTTGGGGTCAAGGTAATACCAATAAATTTTTGGTGCAGTTCTACTTTGGAGAGACTAAAATATGGAATAGTAGAGGATCCATATGTATAGTGAAATAATAATTCCACATGATTAGAACTGTACCATCACTAGTATCTGAGTAAATACCCTCAGTTTGCAAGTGAAAAGCAAATAAAATGGTGATTTTCTTGATTCTCCAGAAGAGAAAACGTAATCCAATTTACCGATGTTTGCATGCATAGCTTCTATTAATACTAAATGGAAGCTGCATGCACACAGGATGAAGACAGCACATCTCTAAGTGTTTTGTTATTCCAAAGTTGTATATCCCATGAGCCCCCTTACCCTTTTTCTTCTTAGGTTGCTCAAGTTCTGGCGTATCTAGTGATTCGCTATAACAGTCTTGAGGTTGGTGAACTTCTACTACCTCAGGAATCCCATCAAGTGTGACCGATACATGCGTAATAGGAGCAACCATAACTTCATCTTCAGATGTACCAAATATATTTGCTTAAGGAAAAAAACAATAAAGACTTTAAGAATACTCTAACAGAATTAAGTGGACTCTTTAAAACCACTTCCATTTCTAAGAGAAACAAGTAAGCAAGCCAAATAAAACCATAATAGTGTACAGAAAATGCATTACTGCAATTAAGGTCTTCATGGCAAAACAGATCAGTCCTTAAGTAAACACATCTGTTCATGAAGTTTATACAGAATAAACAACTTAGTAGCAAAAGAATTTAATGCTCTAAACATAAGCTAAATTTTGATGCAATCACAACAGAATAGCACTATATTTTCATTCATATTTAAGGTAAGCTGGATAGATAAAGTGACTATTGTTACTTTGCCATCATGAATGCAAAGTCTTTCAAGAGCCAAGCTGGAGCAGCATTTAGCAGAATATCACCCACAATATCACTTTAAGAATACTCACCCACCTTATTTTATGTTCCCTTCTTTGTGCCCTTCAGTGGCCAACCCTGACAGAAGGTTTCAGTGCTGCTGTGATTTTTCATCACACACTATGTTCCAATGTCAAATCTACTGACAAATCCCCCATCCACCCATTTCTTTTATAAAAGCACAAGCCATAATATATTGTTTTTCATATTTCACTTAGAAATAAGGCAAATGTAGATCTGACTTCTAGACTTACTTATTCTTTTTTCATCCAACATAGGACCAGGGGAATCCATACTGAGAAGTGCCTCACCAGCTTCAATAGTCTCCATTATTTCATCTCCACTATGATGCACCTGGGGAGGAAGAACCAGCACCATACCTACAGGCTGGAGAACTCCCTTCTCATCAGTGCAGAGGCAGAAAAGGATCTTGGAGTCATCATTGATGCCAATATGAACGTGGGCCAACAGTGTGGGGATGCGGTCAGGAAGGCCAACCACACCTTGTCACGCATCCACAGATGCATCTCGAGCAAGTCCAGGGAGGTGATACTCCCCCTCTATGCAGCACTGGTCAGGCTGCAGCTGGAGTACTGCGTCCACTTCTGGGCGCTGCACTTCAAGAGGGATGTGGACAACATGGAGAGGGTCCAGAGGAGGGCCACTCGCATGATCAGGGGACAGCAGGGCAGGCCCTATGAGGAGAGGCTACGGGACCTGATCCTGTTCAGCCTCCACAAGAGAAGGAGGAGGGGGGATCTAGTGGCCTGTTACAAACTAGTCAGAGGGGACCAGCAGGCATTGGGGGAGTCCCTGCTTCCCTGAGCACTACCAGGAGTGACTAGAAATAACGGTCACAAGCTGGCAGAGGGTAAATTCAGATTAGACATCAGGAGGTGCTACTTCACTGTCAGGGCAGCTAGGATCTGGAACCAACTTCCAAGCAAAGTGGTGCTGGCTCGTACCCTGGGGGTCTTTAAGACAAGGCTTGAGAATCACCTTGCCGGGGTTGTTTGACCCCAGTACTCTTTCCTGCCATGGCAGGGGGTCGGACTTGATGATCTGCTCAGATCCCTTCCAACCCTACTAACTATGAAACTATGACAAGATGCTTCAACTGAAGGCAAGAGACAATATTTCATTTGTAACAAGCTGCAGCTTGGACCTAAGCTTTACAAGCTGCTTAATTTTATGCACTTTTGCCTAAAAGGTTATATTTAGCTGTTATACACAATTTATAAGTGGAAATATTTATGGGATGGAAATGAAGGTTCAAAGCATCTTGGTGAATAAAAGATACTTTTAAAAATAGCTTTTCCTAAACTGCGATCTAGTCTTCCCCACCTTTTCCTCTATCACTTTCACCCACTGATGGTATATGGAGTAAACAATCCTGTGGCTACAAGCCCCAGGGGGGAAAAAGTACTAGAAAACACAGTGTATTTTGGATCATGACCTTATAAAATGGCCAACCTCTGTCTCTTGTGAACAAAGGGAGTGAATTCCAAACTCAAGGCACTCACCAAAAATGCTCTGTTCTCTACTCCCCTAAGTGTAGATGGACAGAAAGACAGCATGACATTTTACCCCATCACAACGTCCACAAGAGGGCACGTATATAATCCAAAAAATAACTCGTAAAACATTCAGATTCTTAGAGATTATAACCAGCAATAGGAAGTGTGCACACCAGCAGTGGGCTGGGAATCAGTGCAACACAGAACGAAATATTCAGTGCCAAAAGATTTTGATAACCAATGGAATTTACTGAAGACTTCATCATAGTTGTCGTGTACACAGCTGTCAGTGATTTCAAGATTTCAATCTCAAACTTGAAAAAAAATGGACTGAAGGTCAAAATATATATAAGAAATTACTCTAGCTTCTCCCATTGCTTGGAGTTCATTCTCACTGAGCCACTAAGTGTTCTGCTATAGAGAACTATCTTGGTCCACATTTGCAGGGAGATTTGGCAACCTGTAGCCCAGGAGCCAAATCCAGCCCCACAAAGGGCTTGGATCCAGGCTGCATTTTACTAAGGGCTTACAGATCCCCAGCCATTTAATCCAATCCACATTTTGTTAAAGGTATGCAGATTGCCTCTGGCTGCTCCAGCCAGCTGCTCCAGCCTTCCAGAGGGCTGCTCTTCTTTACTGCAACCTCTGGAGCAGCTGGAGGAGAATAATGACCTATGGTGCTGACTAGGTCTCAAGCTGCAGCCCCGTATTAAAGGTTGCAGCTCTGTCCCCTTCAGGTGTGCTCCAGGTCTGACCCTCTTACAGACCTTGCCAAGGACAACACAGGCAAGTTTGTATAACCAGGTTCTCAACCACACTGTTCAAACTAAGCAGGAATAGAATACATATATTCAGTCTAAAGCATACCAAAAAAGTACACTTGTGAGGCCTTCTTTAATATCTACTCCAAGTGTTGCAACTTAGACTTGCACTATATTCAGTACAAAAAACACACATTGGAAATGGTACCTTGAATAAGTAGTAATGGCCTTCTTTCTCCATGCACTATCATTTTGCCTTATTATTTAAGTAAAGCCCTATCAAGCCATACATTCATGGCAAACACTATCCAGCATTGCCTTTACTACCATGGTGTTTGTGGAATTGCACCCCTAGGGTCAGATTCCATTCCACACTGAAAAAATTATTAATCCAAAGGGTCAGTGGGTCCGCCTCCTCCTTACTGCTTTTTAGTGACTCCAGTTGAAGGGTAAGATGGTGGTTGTTCCAAATGTAGATGCATTAATGGATTTTCAGTGAAATACATTCTCACTTAGGTTTCTACGTCTATTTACATACCTAATAAGTGGAACGGAATATGACCTATTGTTATCACAAGTAGTAGCTTAGCATGACCCCTGCTCCATGGCTGTTGTCTTACTTACGGAAAGACAGTAACAGCTAAAATCAGAACCTATGATTCCCCTCACAATCTAAATCCCTATATAATATGATAAAGTGAGCTTTATTTAGTGCAATTAAATACATTAAAACAAAAAACAAACCCTGAAATGCTGTATACAGCTGGGTTCCTAACACTGTGGCTGCTTGAGTGAGTACTTTCCACTTGTACTTAGATGCTTTTGCTGTCCACTAGTTACATTCATACAACCCCCACACTTTCTACAGCATGCTCTGGTTGTCGGCATTTGTGGCAATCAGCTTCAAAACACAGACAATAAGGCCTGTTGTCCAAGCTGTGAAGGACTGTACCAGTTACAGCTGTATTTAAATTCAGCCCTAATTCCACTACAGACAGAAACAGAGACCCAGAGACTCAAAATAACAGCAAAATCAAGAAAAAGGGAAGTCACAAAGTTAGAGCTACAGATTTAGTGACTTTTTTCAGAAGAAATTATTATAATTTGAACTCCGATCTGGTTGTTGCCTAGCACTCTAACCCAATTATAATTTAAGAACACTTAAAATTGGGGGATATAGCAAAATAATGCTTTAAAAACACACATTTTTCAAGAGACATTGTTCAGTCTGTGGGTACTATTACAGCGTTGTGTAATCTACATACTCATGATGACTCAAGCGTTATTGCTCAATTCATGTAAGTTACTTTAATACTGGGAGGGGGTGAAGAGAATTGTATTTCAGCAGAAACACCCTCTCAAGATTACTTGGCATTCAAATTTAGCACTTGTAACTACTGTAAGTCACTCTTGTGGGTCCTAATGTACTCAGGCCTGTACAATTTAATTACTGGTACATAACAATTGAAAGTCTTTTTTCTATTTGTTCCTACTGGCACCTCCCCAATCAGAACATGCATTCATCTGTGTTACAACATTCTCTTTCATCCAAACACAGTACACTGTGGTTAACTAGCTATGGGATAATTTACTACTAAGGTTTGATTCACCATTGTTCCAATTTCCTGCCAGCTCCTCCCACACTGTATTATCAACTCCTGATAAACTATTGTTACTGGATAATTCACCACTAGTGTGACAAATTAACCTGAGTTTATTGCTATTTGGGGCTTTTTTAAAATAAACTGTTCTTAAATAAAAAGCACACTCCAATACAGGGGGTAGAGAAGGGGTATCAATAATTTGAGTAATCCAATTAGTTGCTCACTGTTAGGTACATTATTTATAATTACTGTTAAAAAAATAGCAAGGTATACAGTCTAACAAAACATCTTCTCTTAGAATTTATGCTACCTAAAATACTGCCCCACCTTCTTCCCAGCAGAAATAACGTAGCCTGTTCAATACAGAATGTACCTCAAAGTCAAGCACATTTTTAAAGAAAAAAAAGCAAACTTTTATTACTCCTCTTTTAGTTATTTACAGTCTACTTAGATCAGCAGCTACTGACAATACAATCTACTGCAATTTCTCAGTGTAACATGCTTTTAATATACAAGGAAAGTAAAGGTGCACTTTATAGATTAACTAAATCAGAGTTGCATAAGCTTTCATGAGCCCAAGCTCATTTCATCTGATGAGCTTTCAGGCTCATAAAAACTTATGCATCTCTGGTTTAGCTAGTCCATAAAGTTCATCTCCACCCTGCCTTCTGCCTGACTTCAGACTAACACTGCTGTATCTTTCTATGTTTTAACAGGGAACGAGAGCTATACTGTTAAATGAAGCATGTCTGTCACTAAAAATAATAAAAAAGATTTATAATTTGGATAAATGTAGTAACTGGAATAGTCACTGTAAAAACCACTTCTTTTATCTGGCAATTTCAAGAGGGTGTCTTGCATCATGTTCAAAATTAGAATTGAAGTAATGGCTACAGTTTGCATTAAAAATAAATTCTTGCAGATTTCTCCAAGAAACTTAAGAGAAAGAGGGAGAAAGTGCTACTTTTTACATGTAGCCCAAAGACTATATGTATCAGCATTCCTATGGTCACATGGAAATGACTGTGTATGCAGAGCCTTATAGACCACATGCATGCTCAGAGCAACAGGGGAAGGTAAAAAAGGAAAAAAATACAATACCTAGGATTCCCCTGTAGTGAAAAGAGAAATATCTTCTTAGGTGAGAATGTGTGCTTTGCATATAGGCAATAACCATACTAGGTAAGCACTGTAGTGAAGTTTGCACTTCACTACATACGTATACATTAGATATATGCATACACTAGATACATATGTCCCTTAATAAATACAAAAGGCAAGAATTTCATAGGGTGGTATCTTTTACTGGACCAACTGCATAGTTGGGAAAGAGTTAGACACGGTGACCCGAAGAAGAACGCCTTACCTAACTGTACCCCAACTATGCAGTTGGTACCATAAAAGATACCACCTTAAGAAATCCCTGACTCTTGCAGAATTCCTGGACCATCACTAGCTACAACGGCACTCTAACATTCAACAAATTGGTATTTTAATCCTGAATCCTAATAAGAGAGAATCTGTTAGTGCCCCCAGAGGCAGAGGAGCCACTATGTTTTCCATAGGGTGGCAGTTTAAATTGGATGAAAAAAATGGGAGAGTCCTCATCTTTATAGCATGGAGTAAAGGGTGCTCAGCTTGGGGCGGGGAAGGGGGTTAAGCAAGTTTTGACCACACATGCAGCACCATACCCAGCGCCATAGGCTGTATGCGACTCCATAGGCTCTGTGAAATCATGGGCTGCAAGTATGGCAGGTTTCCAGTCTCTGGGGACATTGAGGAAGACCCCAGCACAGTACAAGCCTTGCATGAGCAGCAAATGACCACAAGGCTGCTGGCGGGCAAGGTTGGGCCAACCCATTAGCCAAAAAAAAATTGAAGCTAATTCAGGTTTACACCATTTCCACAGCTCAGAAGACCCTGGAATGTGGTGCTTTTAGGAAATGGAAATTATCAGCCATCCAATTACACATTAGAAATAACCAGGGATCCCGGTTTGCTCTGATTGTAAAAAATCCCCAATTTTTGGTTTAAATTAAGGAAACCAAAATCCACATTTTTCCATGATTAAAATAAAACGCTACTATATATATATATAAAGTAGATATATATCTAATATAGTCAATATATATCTATATCCCTATCTATATTAGTGGTGTTTCATTTTAATCATGGGAAAATGTGGATTTTGGATTACTTTTTTAAAACTAAAATGGGGGGATTTTATTTTTTTTTTTTTATCAAAGAAAACCAGGATCCCTGGAAATAACAAATACAAGCAGCAAGGGACTTAAGTCAGAGTTCCAGTCAGTAGTTAGCAAACAGCCCAAAACTGACATGAGATCATGACAGAAGTTACTGAAAAGCCTCAAGCTAACACATCTGTAAAACTCTGTTTTGTTCATGGATAACTCACTAATGGAAAAAGGGGGCAACTCTTCAAATAAAACTCTGCTGAGAATAATTCCTGCCAAGTGGGTTTTAGTTTTGTTTTTAAATACGGGCACACATCCGGTACAAAAAGTTGCATGGTAGGAGAACAAGCTTCTATCAAACATTTTAGCCAAGGTTATCACATATGAAAGGACTCAAAATATTAAGAGCATGACTTTGAAAACTGTTCTGGTTGGGAGGTTAGACTTTCAGGCAATCTCACTACCATTCACCAACACTTGAGACTACATATTTGTGACCTCCTCACTGGAAAAAAGCAAAACAAAAATAGATACTACTATCACGTAGATCAAAATTCTGGGAAGATGTCCACTCCCTGCAATGCTTTACACCTTCTGAAGGATCACTTTGCATGGTCTGTGTACTCAGTATCTGCCTGAAAGATCTGAGCTACCTATGATACTGCAAATAAGCCTTCCTCATCAGGGTCCTACATTTGTTTTCTCTTCTTCTCAGTCCCTCTTCACTAACAGAGTTTTATATAAAACACCTATGTCATCAAACTAAGCCACTGTTAAATGTTGCAAAGTATCTTTTGTATTTTTTACACTTACTTTTATAACTCTAACCATCATTAGCCTATATATTTTAAAGCTATTAGTGCATCTTCAGGTAGTTAAAACAGTAAAATTACATAAAAGTCTAGTTTACTTCTTGCTATAGATACCTGCTTTTATTGAAAAAGTTCTGAAAAGCCAGGTACCCACCTCTAAAGCCAGGTATCCACAAGAAAATATGAACAAATACCTTACAAAAATAAAAAGCACAAAGTCTGAGAAACTGTTGAGTGGGGCCTTCCAGCACCTATAGTGCATTAATTGTCCAATTTAGACTGTAAATTCATATGCAGGATATATATCATCATGGGGTACATCATCTTCATAATGTATAGCACTAACAAGAAATTAGTAATTAAACAGCAATTCTCATTTATAAAAATATTTTCGGCTTGCTTTTTTCATGATTTTGGAAAAGGCAGGGTCATGACATTCAGCTGGGGGAGAAGTTTTTGCTACTGGTTTTTTCCAACAGCACCACAGTTTTGCTTACACTGTACACCTTCCACAGTTTCTACTGCTGTTCTAATAAAATATATTATTGCATTTTGTAAAAAAAAATGCAAAGCACTAGGCACATACATCAAGTATACTGTAACAAGTCTACTTACCTTTATTGCCAGTACCTTAAGTTTTGTTTTAAAGTCGTAAAGAACATGGTAAGAGATTCTATGCAGCCCTTTACACTTCCCCTATAACTTATCTTTCATATTTGGCTCTGGCCTAGGTCTGTTTCATTTTTGCTTTGTAAGGAAAAGTTTGTCATTGCAAGCCACTGCCACCTTGTTAAAGCAACGAACCTGTCAGAGTGATATCATCATCTTCTATGATTTGCTCTTCTGCAACGTCCAATGAACTTTCGGTAATCATGTCATTAGGTTCATCAACACAGGATAAGCCAGAGTAATTGTGTAGGAGGTCTGCACTAGGAACATGTTCCACAATGACAGCAGGGAAAATAGATGGATCACCAAGCTATGAAAAAATAAATAAATAAAAAGTTTTAAGCTACTCCCAAATGTTATGTCTGCCAATGTACAATACATCAGAGATAGCCAGCCTGCAATACCTATGCCACAAGTGGCACAGGCCGCAGGTCAGGAAGGGGGCAGGTATTACACCAGCAGACAGGACAGGAAGCAGAAAGCAGAGCAGCAGAATGAACAGGAAGAAAAAAAAATCAGTGGCAGATCAGGCAAGGAGCACAGGGCAGGAAACAGAAAGCAGAACAGCAGATCCAGCAGGGGAAGGGGATTACAGTGACACTCCAGGAGTGTGCAGGGCTAATTTGTGCTATCCCTGCCAAAAACATTGACCATGACTGATCTACGGTGTTACTAAAAGCATTAGACAGCTAGGACCAGTAACAGTAACAATCCAGTAGTGTTTCAATCTGCAAAATGGAATAGCTGTAGACTAATCACTGAAGTTTCTGAAATGTTCACTTTGTTTTGAGCAAGAACATTTAATAGAGACATAATTGAAAATCGTTTAATGTAGGATCCTCACAACAGCATTTTACAGAGTAACTTTTCACAAAGAAAGCACAATTTAAAAATAAACCGGACAGAGGATTCAAAAACATACCATAGGAAGTAACTCCACTACTCAGAGATGTAGCAGGGCATAAAAAAATCATACAACCTGCTAGCTGTTTTTCAGCTCTAGTTCTTATGGTCCTATTAATTTGAAGCTGTGCTATCCTCTCCCCTCCTCAGTGTTGACTGTCTATTATCAAACCCACCCTGCAAACTACTATTTTGCTTCAGATGCAGAAGAAATGAAGCAATTGGAAAATCAGCAGGAAGTCAAATTGGTTAGCCATAATTAAAAGATGCACATTCTTTCAAAGCTCAACTTCTTAACAGGAAGAGGTTTTCAGAATAAAAAGTACCCTTTGCTACAAACAAGTGTTTTCCAAAACACTTTTTTAAAAGGTCATGTGCAGAAAGAGATTTACTATCTGACAGTAGCATAACATCTTACATATACCACATTAATTTTACAATCTATCAGGAAGACTATGCTTTTGTAAACAAAACAACGTGGGTGAATTTAGAGCAGAGATATATTTCTGAAGATTACAACGCCTAGATTTGCACAGCCCAATTTTTTAACCATGCTAGAAAAAAATATCACAATTGTAAGCTGTTTTGAGCATTATTTATTTTACAAAATCTGACCATTGGATACAATTCAATTGAAAGTAAAATATGCCTCAAGCTATTGGTTCAACACAAATGGATATTGGGGTGAAGTATCTCCCAGCAAAATGTTATGGCTGCAAGTACTGAAATGGCAAAGGGTGCTATTAAAAGTTTTGACAGGCAGTAATTATTATTTTAAGTTGCTAAGTGTTTTCTAAAAATATGTTTTAACAACAGATGTGCATTTCATGGAATAAGGCACAGATTAAAAATAATTTAAAACAACCTCCCCAACATACTTAAATGAATTTCTACCATGAATTAGTAGCCCACTAAATACAAAAGCCAATTAACGGACTGTCAGCAAACAGGTTCTTCAGAATGCAGCCTTCAAAGTAAAATGACAGCTTACCAAAGTAATACAAGTGACAGAAAAGCAGACCCATATAAGATCACTCTAGAAGTTCTGCTAATAGTAGGAAGAGAAGAGTAGAGCTAACTCCAAGAGACAAAGGGCACAAAAAGGCACAGCCTCATGAAAAATAAATTCAATAGAATGAGCCAGGTCCACCCTGTTTTAATAATGAACAGTGTGCAAGTGCTTTCATTTGAGTCATCTACTTTATTAACATTATGAAAAAGGGTAATCAAGCCATTTATCCATTTAAGAACAAACCAGCTATTTTCTTAATGGAACGATAAAACAAAGACAGTCATTTACTCATCAGAAATAGTCAAATGACTCTACACTTCAGAAGCTAGATAGACATTAATCAGGACTCTATTCTTAAATTTCAGTTTATGCACCACTGTGGCTTCTCAAAAAATTGGCTGGTCACTTGGTGTTGGTTCCATTTCTATTCTAGCTGAGAATAACAGACCAGATACTAAGAGAAGATGAAATAGCAAGCAAAAAAAACAAAACAAAAGGACAAAGCATTTAGGAAAGAGGGAAAATTCATATAAAGTCTCTGTATAACAAACTTCTTGATTTGCCACAGGGCTACTTGATCATAAACTGAAGGAGAATGATCTACAACAGACAGGCAATCTTGTTATTGAAATGTGGCCCAGCCTACTGAAATGTTCGAAAATCTGCAATCCAGCAAGTAGTCAGAGTAATTAATGTACTGGGCAAAAGTTTATAAGTAATGACACATAAAACACTACATTTAAAAATTCCTATTAAAGCTGCACAGAAAAAAAACTCAAAAGCTATGACTATGCAAACTTAATTCAGCCCTTTAAGTGCATATAGGCAGTCCTCGGACTTATGACACAACTGGTTCCTGAAAACCGCATCTTAAGTGAAATGTTGCAACTCGGAACTAATTTCCCCATAGGAAACAATGTTATAAATGGGGGATTGGTTCCTGAACCGAGGCCCGATACCCTATTTTCACCAAAAATAACCCAGAATTTTGTACTCAATCAATTACAGATGAGTAACATAGCTACATTAATATATTTATATTGTAAATAGCAATCATATTGATTTGGAAGCACTTCTTTGAGATGACTTTGCTGGACTTTTTGAAAGGCTCTTGGCTGGACTTTTTGAAGGGCTCTTGGCTAGTGTCCTCTTAGGAGTCTTGGCTGCAGGTTTTTCTGGAGTCTTGTCTGCTTTCTTAAAGAAAGCGTGCAAGGAAGGTGTTCTCCAGGGAGATGGGTGACGCAGTAAACTCGTTAGCTGGTGTGTTGCAGCGTCGGATCAAGCGTTGTAAAGTCAAAACTGATGTCAGAAAGTTGAAACAGGGTGTCAATTTATAAAAGTTGTAAGAATGAAACGTTATAACTCGAAACGTTGCAAGTCGAGGACTGCCCATATTCATTCTGATATGGTTTTAACTGCATATTCCCTCCAGCCCCATATGCCCTGTACCTTCTTCGGAGAACAGGATGGACAATATTCACTTAAGTAGGTAGCAAACATTTTATTTCATGAAGTCTCTGCTGAGCATGTGCAAACTGTTTTCCACCCCACCCCCCCATAGGCTCCCCAAAGGACTAGGGGTGCACCGATACAGATTTTTTTGTCAGATATTCATCCGATAGCTGACACGCAGCCCAGTAGCCTGGGGACCAGCGTCCAGTCAGTAAGTCTGTAGGGGGAAGAAGCATGAGGGGGGCAGATCGAGGCCCCCCATGGTGAGGGAGGGAGTGGGGTTGAGGCAGGGGCAAGTGCTGATCAGCTGGGGCAAGGCAGGGTGCAGGATAGAGCCATGGGAGGCTAGTCTGGGAGGCACAGGGAGGTTGCAAGGCGGGGTGCAGCTCCTGGCTGCTGCACGCACCTTGAGGGAGGTACGGGGGCATGTGCCCCCAAGATATGTGCAAGGGACAAGGGCAGGCTGCCTGCTGTGGGTTCAGGCACAGGGGCTGCACCAGCCTCTTTCCGGTGTGGGGGGCTGAATCAAGGCTGTGCTCAGGGTGGATGAGGATAGGGCAGGCGGCGGCACTGGGAGGGGGGCTAGAGGAGGACTAGGGCAAATTTTGGGGTGGCTCTAGCTCTCTCCATAGTCCCCTTCCCAACACCACCCCCACCCACCCCATACGCAGCCCTGGCCCAGACCCCCTGCTGGGAAGAGGCTGGCACAGCCCCTGGCCCAAAGCCCACAGCAGGCAGCCCACCCTTGCCCTACACACAAATCCAGGGAGCACATGCCCCACATGCATCCCCCAGGGATATGCACAGTGGCTGGGAGCCGCCCCTCTGTGCCCCACCAGATGAGCTGCCCAAGGCTCCATCCCGCGCCCCACACCACACCAGCTGGGCAATGCCTACCCCTGCCCCATTCCCTCCCTCACTGTGGGGACCTCCATCTGCTTCCCCACCACAAACCAGCCGATGCTGCTCTCCATGCTGCCTGGCTATATTCCTGGCTTTGTACATGGTGTGGCTGCACGTGGCATGTATCAGTGACATTACTGCCTACACTGGCCAAAAAAAGCTGACTGTTGATACCAAAAAAAGCTGACTGGCACCTTTTATTGGTGCCAATCCGATATGGACTGATTTTTGGGTGCACCACTATACAGGACTGTACCTTATTTTGATGATTTTGCTAAGCCAGCGGTTGTCAACCAGGGATATGTGTACTCCTGGGGTTACTTGGAAAGGCCCTAGGGGGTACACATGGGCAGGCGGGGATGGAGCGTCGCCACCCACCACCCCAGGAACACAGTTTACTGTAACCTATTCTGCAATACAGAACTTTATTTTGACAACACCTAAAAAATATTGCCCTGAAAACATATCAACATGGTAATTGTGACTGGGTATCCCAAACATGGGGGTTTCTGTAATGCAGACAAGCAATGGTACAATAATTTTTAGCTCTGCCTCATATTCAAGTAACTGACGCATTTAGTCACATACGTGCTTTTAAGGAAGGAAAAAAGGTAAACATATTAAAAGTAGGGCTGTCAAACGATTAAAAAAACTGATGGCAATTAGTTACGTGATTTCAAAAATTAGTCATAAGTAATTGAGATTTTAATCGCACAGCTAAAAACTCAAAATTATGTGCACAAAAACCTCAAAATTATGCAAAATGATGCAGGTACTTTGTATGGATGGGGGTGGGTGTAGGGTATGTCCGTGGAGGGGAATTTGTGATGGTGTGGAAGGCTATGGGTGTGTATGTGGGGTTTGGAGCCCAGGGAGGGGGGTTGCTTGCAGGGGGGCCTGCAGCCTGGGGAGGACGGACCCCTGCATGCCCTGACAGGATGCCCAATCTGAGCCAGGTTCCTACTCAGCTGCCCTGGGCCCAGGGTGTGCCCCCTACCTGAGCAGGGCCTGAGGCAGTGGGCTCACCCCAGCCTTGCCGC